CTGCAAACGCAGATTAAAGAAACCACACAAAACAGTCAAAACTAAAACAAATGGAAAAAGAGAGAAAGGAATTATTTTAAAACAGAGGTTTTAAAATAATTCCTTTCTCTCTTTTTCCATTTGTTTTAGTTTTGAGACTAGAGAGAAAGGAATTATTTTAAAACAGAGGTTTTAAAACATTTCCTTTCGAAACATTGATATTAAACTCTAAAAAGATAAACATTGATATTAAACTCTGCAGAGGACTAGAATATGATGGTGCTTATGTAATTTTTGGAATTAAAAGTGGTCTTCAAACTCAAATAAAAGCGCTTTCACCAAATGCCATCTATGTTCATTGTTGTGCTCATGTTTTAAATTTGATGACCATCGAAGCAATGTTTGTAAACAGCGATGTCCAGATGTTTTTAGAGATAGCTGAAAAATTCTATAAGTACCTTACATCTAGTTTACTACGACTTCATATCCTCCAAGAGTACCAGAAATGTCAATATGAATCAACAGTAGACACTCTGAAACGACTTTCTGATACAAAATGAGCAAGTACGAAGCATGCAGTTGATGCTGATGTTGAATATTCTTTAGCTATTCTAGCCATTCTAGAAGATATAAATCTAGGAGAATCTAAAGAACATACAATAAATGTTAGAGCAGAAAATGGACTATGAGCTAATGGACTATCAGTTTTAATAAAAAAAAACATTAATTTGTTTTTCTAATGTTATTTTTGCCAAAGTCGTTAATTAATCATTTAATTATTTAACTATTTGCAACGAGAAGATATAGATGTTTTATTTGCAAACAGTTGATTGATGTTACAAAAAAAAATGTTTGTAGATTAGAAACGATGAAACTTTTAAAGTTCTACATTTAGCAGCCAAATCATTTATTAGTGAAAAATTTGCCGAACTAAATGCAGAAACTGAATTTAAAGAAAACTCGTTTTCTTTAAATTCAGTTTCTAACATTTAATTTCTATTAAATTCAGTTAGCCTAACATCCAGCCAAAAAGAAACGCATGACAGGAGAGCTGTGGAGAGATGAAAGAGTTGATGATCCAACTACACGTCTAAAATGTGAAACCTACTTCAATGTTTTGGATACAATTATAATCCAAAAAATTAACAATTTCACAACTTTAGTAACACAGATACACATTTTTATTGCCTCGATCCGTCAAAATTATCTGAAGAAAATATAAATTCATTTAAAAAATGTCAAACTTACTGTAACGACGTAAATACTGAAAAAGCAGTTGTAGAGTATGAGACTTTCATGATGTGTATGCATCGATATTCCCATCACTAACAACTGACATGCAATTAAAAGATGTATTTCAGTTCTTGTTTGAGAAATAGATAGCACCCGGTCTTCCTAAGTTGTCTATACTTTGAAAAATCTACTTGACTCTTCCGTTAGATCTGCTAATGGTGAAAGAAGTTTCAGTAAAATAAAGATTACAAAAAATTATTTTAGATCAACAACGACAAAGGAAAGTCTTTCTAGATAAGCATTAATTGAACGTGAGCTTGCTGAAAAAATTGACTTTGATTTGTCGATAAATCGTTTTGTTTCAATGAATTCTTGCAGAATTTGTGTAAACTACCTGAAAAGTGAATTTTTTTCCTAAATGCTAACTTTTGTAATGTCTAGTTACATTTTTAAATGACCAAACTATTTCAGTAATAGGGGAGAGTCGGGTAATGGCAAACGCGGGGTAACTCCGAACAAGATCGTTACGTCATGTTAGAAAAGGATTGTTGAAAATCTTTTTTTTTCTGACGAGAGTGGGTTCCATGCTCAGTTCCAGACATGCGGTAGTGTAGTAAAGATGCGCAGGTTGTTCACGATTGATTGATTTTAAGTTTTTTTCTTAGTTTTACGTAAATTTTTTTTGCGAAACATTTATGTATTGGCTATACTATGTATATAAAAACACACATTTATAATATTGTTGCAAAGTACCATAATCATGGAGTTTGTAACACGTATTATATTTAGGGTATGATAATACTACCTCAATATATTCGTTTAATTTCATTTGGTTGGATCGCGGGGAAATAACGAACTATCTTAGTGGGGTAATCGCGAACGCTTATTGTTTTCTCAAAGTATTCTAGCGTATCTGATAACACACGGACGTTTCTTAAATAAAGTTATTATACATTATTTATTTATAATAACTTTATTTAAGAAACGTCTTAAATAAAGTAAATGTGTATATATATATATATATATATATATATATATATATATATATATATATATATATATATATATATATATATATATATATATATATACACATATTGTAATATGTGTATATATATATATATATATGTATATATATATATATATATATATATATATATATATATATATATATATATATATATATATATATATATATATATATATATATATATATATATATATATATATATATTATATAATTTAAACACACACATATGTATACACATAATTTAAACACACACATATGTAAGCATATTATATATATATATATATATATTATATATATATATATATATATATATATATATATATATATATATATATATATATATATATATATATATATAATATGCTTACATATGTGTGTGTTTAAATTATGTTATTACATTTTACAAATAAAGTTCTCAACGCACTCAAATGCGTATAAAGAACAGAGCACTAATAAATTAGTAAAAAACACTTATGTAATTTTGTATTCAAATCGTACTTTTACCTTCTGTATACAGAAGTTAAAACTACACACATATACTTTCTGATACTATAGTATCAGAAAGTATCTTGGTCACTTTACAAAGAAGGTGAAGCTACTTGAATATAATAAATAGATTAGTTTTTTTTACTATATCATATATATATATATATATATATATATATATATATATATATATATATATATATATATATATATATATATATATATATATATATATATATATATATATATTATTGATATTTGAAATTTCATTCATGTAACATTTTATTTGGTTTGAATAAAGTTTATTGCTATTTGTTTCTTTAACGTTTGATTTGTTTAAAATTTTATTCAATAATATTTTAACGCTTCAATCAAGTTTTATTTGTTTTGATTAACATTTTTTTTACTATTAGCCAATAGTGTTCGGTATTACCCCACGTACATAGGTAATTCCAAATACCGAAGATTTTGTTTTTGATCGATTTTTTTATTTTTTAATAAGATATATGAAAATTGCTTTTGAGTGTTTCTAACCGAATGGTTACACTAATTAATAAGTAAAAAATATCATTAATATATAATTATAATTGTCATTAATTCGCATTCCCTCTTAGCTGTTCGCTATTACCCTGCTCTCCCGTATTAAATATTTCTTATTTTATAAAAGATAATTGTTACCTAAAAAAATTTTATAAAAGATAATTGGTAACTAAAATAAATAAAGGAAACTAAAAAAAAAAATTAGTGTATATGTATGTAATATGTATAATATGTATGTAACATGTATAATAAAAGTCACATATACACTTATAAAGTGTTTTAGTCATAAAAATAAATTCTGGAGTCTAAAACACTGATTATAAGGTCTTTTTAACATTTTAGGCATAAAATATTCTACTGTCAGTGTTACCCCAGATAGAGGGTAACATCGACAGTGGCACTGCAGCAAAAAAATAATTATCTATTATTAAAATTACACAAAAAGTTATAACCTTTAACAGTTTGTGGCAGCGGTATCATTGGTAAACACTTAAAAATATTAGATACCAAATTTTTTTTGTCGCACGCTAGAATTTTTTTTTTTTAAAGATGTGTCAATGTTACACCACTTAAGCTTAGGGGCCTAACAACTTGCAGTTATATTAAAATAAAAATTTTACGGTACTGAAACCAAACCGAATTTATATTAAATTTCAACCGAATTAAAACAATAAAAACTTGTTAAGCTCTTTTTGATCACCATTTTATCGATAAGTGCACATGTAGACACTATGCCTTAGCATTATTGAACTGATATTTTTATAAAATTTAAAAATGTACACGTAATACCGTTTGACAATATTATAAAGTTTCAATGCATATAATTACTTTAATGTATATAAATAGAAGAATTTGGTGGAAGCCTGAACGCGCGAATTCAATTTAAAAATGTTTAAAAAAAACTTTGAATCAAACTAAAGTTTAACTTCTATTCTATTTTATGTTCAGCTTTATGCATTTACAAAATAAAAAGACAAATTTTTTCAAAAATGAATGACTATATTTTATATAGTCTCTCTCTCTCTCTCTCTCTCTCTCTCTCTCTCTCTCTCTCTCTCTCTCTCTCTCTCTCTCTCTCGTTGTAGCGTCTAGGTTTAGCTAAACCTTGACACTACAACGAAGAAATACAATTTTAAAAGTTTTAGTTAAATATATATATATATATATATATATATATATATATATATATATATATATATATATATATATATATATATATATATATATATATATATATATATATATATATATATATATATATATATATATATATATATATATATTCTTCTTTCTCTCTCTCTCTCTCTCTCTCTCTCTCTCTCTATATATATATATATATATATATATATATATATATATATATATATATATATATATATATATATATATATTAATATTTAAATAATGAATTCTCTCTCTTTCTCTCTCTCTCTCTCTCTCTCTCTCTCTCTCTATATATATATATATATATATATATATATATATATATATATATATATATATATATATATATATATATATATATATATATATATATATATATATATATATATATTATTACACTTTAGATAATCTAATATATATTTTCATACTAGTTTTATATAAAGATATCAGGCAAACTCTTGATCATAACTAAGAAACAAAAACAAACAAGTCCTCAAAGGAATATAATCTAATTAAATAAAAAAATAAAAATATCATGCAATAAGATTGTTGAACAAAGGTTGTTTTATTAAATTTATTTGGATTAAATTTTTTTTAAACAGTAACTATAACATGGAACGACCAACACTACAACATGTTTACAGTGCAGTTGATGCTCTATATCATTCTGAAAAATTAGAAGGTAAAGAACAAGCTTCACATTGGCTTGATGAGTTTCAGCAATCCGTAAGTTGAATTATATTTTGTTTGAATTATTAGTTATGTTTTTACATTTATTTACATAGTAATGTTTGTATTTATTTATATGTTTTTATTTGACATGTCATGAAAATAGTTAAGATTTAAAAACTTTACAGGATAAAAAAAGAACTAACAACCTGTGAACCATCTTATGTGTTGGTTTTTATATTTGAAAAATGCAACCTAATTGACAAACTCATTTACAATCAACATTTAAATAATGTTTCAAAATGTTATTTTTGTGATTGCATATTGAAGTATATGTTGTTTAGTTCCATTTCAAAATTTTACAAAATATTTATTAATAATACTTATAATATAGCCTTGTTGAAGATGTTAAATAAATCGTAATCGTATCAGCGTCATGCTGAAGCAACCCCAAAGTTTAATTGTGGGTAAAGGTAGGAGGAACTTCGAAGCCTTAGATGGTGGTTGTTCTAATAGCAGTATTTGTAGTGAATAACCAAAAATATAAGCAAATATTGTATTGATTATAAAATTGTCATTTCTTTTTTATGGTTAAAGGAATTTCTTTGCTACCATAAGGAGTTTAAGGATAGCTATTAATATGAGTTTTTTAAAGATTTTACTATAATAATTTAGCATGTGCTTCATTGAGAGAATAAACACAGTAGTTTCATGACCATTAGGCAATCAAAATTTTCATATTTACTTTGAAGTACAATTTTTAAAAAAATACTGGTCTTAGGTTAATAAGCCATTAAGAAATTGAGTACCCAGATGACCTTCACTACAAGTTAAAAAATGTTAGTACAAGATCTCTATTATTTAATCCTACATTTAGTAGGAGTAAATAATAGAGATCTTGTAGCCTTAAGTGTATCAAATTAAACTCTTTTCAATAGTATTACAGTTGTTAACAGGTTTTGAGCTGTTGTTCTACTAGTTGCAATCTCGTAATCAAAAAAAAAAAGAAGTCTTGATTTAGAAGAAATTGATTTTAATTTAGAAGAAATTAAGAAAGATCCATAATCTAAATGAATGTAGTTTATAATACCAAACATAGAAAAAAGATCACTAAAACATTTTTTTGTTATTTATTATATAAGAGAAGGCTACTTTTTTTGTTTTTATATTGGTTACACCCTTTCTCAACTCTGAAACATGAAGCTTGAACCTTGATGTACAAGGTTGTTGCCCAGAGAAACAAGTTATGCAGTGTGCTACACAGTTATCCAAAAAGAGGATTACAATTGAATTAAAATATAAAGCGCATGTTTTGATTGGATTAAAATATGAAATTCTTAGCATTGTATATTTTTAAACAAAAACATTACCTTTTTAAAAATACTGTTAATTTGAGTTTCTCCTCCACTTAGGTTTTCATAACTATAAACTCTATAAGCTTCAAACTTTTTCATTTCAAACTACTGCAAAATTGCATTAAAAATATTTAAATATTAAAAAAAATTAAAGTTTTTTAAAACATAATAACATATCAATTATCACACCAAAAAAATTTGATTTGAAAAGTAAGAGAATAACAAAAACATTATTAACTTATGAATGAATTAAAATTTTGAATGAATTGACCTTGTTATGCAATAAATACGCTATGTAATAAATCTTTTTAGTCTATGTAAAAGAAACATACTAACATTGTTAATTAAATGTAGTTATTGCTTGCTTATGAAATATTATACTAAACGCTTCTCATGCAAATAAAGCATATAAATGAAAATTAGCGGCGAATCGATGTTGTTGTTAAAGCCGTCATATTGTAAAACGTAAAATACTAATAAAAAAAAAGGCCTCTACATGTAGACAGGATTTTTAGACCGGTATGCCCAAAAAATTTCTGGATTCGTCACTGGTAGCTTAAACCAATACAAATTTGAGACTGTAGATATTCTTCTGATAATGATACTGTAAATTTTATGGCATGTCATTTTAATGTCATGTGCTTCAGGATTTACTCCTGAAGCACGTGAAATTTCAAAAAATTGTATAAGCTAGGTAAAAATGCTTGAATTCTGAAATTCTTTGACAGAATCTTGCCTTTAATATCTTTCTAAAGTAAGCATTTTTAACAGGTTAAAACTTTATGTAGCAATCACTAAAGGCACTGTTTGGAATGCACAATTTTTTTAGGCAAATCTCTGAAAAATGTCACATTCTTTAACAATGCGTTGCATTAATCCTTTGAACTGTCCTATATGATATAGTTGTATTTAAAGGTGCAAGAACAGGAGCTATTCTAGGACAAAAATACCGGGCGGTGCCCCCTCGTTCCAGCAAACTTTAGTGAAAAATCAGCGTTTTTTCGCTAAAAAAAGCAATATTTGCCGTAACAAACGTTTAAAAAAAAGGTCCTTAAATTTTAATTTGGGGACGCTCAAATACGGTCGACACTATCAAAAACGGTCTAGAATAGCCCCTGAAAAGAATTAACCATTCTTGTGCTTGATTCCATATTTCAAAGAAAAGATGGTTGAAGTTTCCAAGAAAAAGATAGAGTTCCATTGGAGGAATTACATCAAGAAGCGTTTTATAAAGTGAGACTGGATACTACTGGATAAGATTCAATAGTATCCTAAGATTTTCATGTTTCAGGAATACCCTCTTCTGCAGAAGCAATCAGCTGTTTTTTTGCACCACCATTTAGATTAGTAGAGGTTGATTGCAGACATAATGCTCCTTGAGTATAACTTTCCTTAGAGCATGTGTCAATTATGCCTAGGGTAATTTTCAAGAATGAGCCACCTTCATTGATTCTGATTTCGACTAAATGATGTAAATCTTCTTGTTTAGAGAACATGGTTGATCATCAGGTCATTCAACTTCTGATCATTCTTGGAAACCATATATCAAATTGATTTTAAAATTAGCATCTGCTAAGGTTGGATCTCTATATTGTGCTTGTGCAGGATTCTATTCTTTATCTCTATAAAGAATAGATTCTATTCTTTATCTCTATATATCTGCTCTTGAAGTCAACCTCCAACCATAATCACATCATTATAATGTTGTTTCTGTTTCTCTTTTGTATAAATACTATAATGGGCATTGCTCTATAGAGCTTCTATCTCTTGTGCCATCTACTAAAATTTGTTCTCAAGTTACTCGTCATTCAATCAAGTCTTTTACTGTGACTGGTTATAAGTGCTCAAAAAATTCTTATTTTTCTAACTTTTTTTCCTTGAACATCAGTTATTTGGAATTCCCTTTCTTCATCTTGTTTTTCAATTCATACAATTTAAAATCTTTTTAGTTGTCTGTTAATTGTTATCTTGCTTTATAAACTTTATCTTTTTTCTTCCAGTAAATTCCAACTCTAATAGTGGTTACTTGCAGCCTTGTTGGAAGTGAAGATATTGAAAAAAATATTAATAATAAAAAGAAAAATGTACTTTTACGAAATAAAACTTCTAGATTTGTTTTTATTAATTAAACTTGTTTTAAAAAAACTAATGTCTATAAATAAGTAAAAAAAATAAGATAATTTTATGACGTCAAAATCATGATGAGCTAATGTGCTAAGCCGTTTTTATATAAATCAAGGCCTGTATTTGTATTATATATATATATATATATATATATATATATATATATATATATATATATATATATATATATATATATATATATATATATATATATATATATATATATATATGTATATATATATATATATAAACAGTCAATTTATACTTTATAAATTATAAATATTTAAAAGTTGATTTATTTGTTTTATTTATGTGCACTGCATTTGCGCAAAACTACTTAAAATGTTATTTATTGACTTATTGTACAATTTAAATCATATATGTTTTATATTTTCTACTAAATAAAAAAATTCTATAACCAAAAAAAAATGATAAAGATAAAGTAACATTAGAATGGCAAAATGCAATTCAAGTCATATAATGATTCTGAATTTTTTTTGCTGCATATCTAACACAAGGTAATGTATCTGGATCATTGTTACACTGACTAGGGTATAATATATATCATAAAAATATGGAGACAAGGTTTTTTTTTAAGGCTTTATTTTATCATTCTTTATTTTACAGTTTGATTTATATAATACCATATTACATAAATACCATAGAGAATCGCTCATTGATAAGTATGATATAATGTCAGCAATGATTTATGGCTATGACTATTGCTTCATCTTCTTTGTCTACTGGTGAATAGTATTTTTCACTTACTTGGAAAATACGTAAATGGAATGTAATAGTCCTTTGAAATTAAGTGTGGATGGTATAGCAAAATCAGAAGCATCATTCCACAGTTCACGGAATATTCTTATCAATGATAATTAAGTATAATAAATTGTCTAAATATAAATAGTCTATTTTTGTTGGAAAACATGCATTAGTAACTTCAAATGGCATTTTAGTTTATTGCTACAGTTTTTTATCAGCCTCAAAAGCTGGACATGTTGATTGCTATTGGATAAAGTTATTTAGTAGCATACTACAAAATCATCCTCATCCAAAAGCAAGTCTAGAGTACTATAAATCTTGTAGTTAAAAATTATGCTCACGGTCAAATCAATTTTAGGTAAGCGATATATATCTAACTGGTTATACTTATTTATAGTTTTAGAATAGTTAACTACCATGAAACATTTAATCTTTTTATTTACTACTAAAATTTAAACATGCTAAGGTAAATTGCTTCAACCAGATTTTCTTTAAGTTGTATCTATAATAAGTTATCTAGCTTATGCAACTTAAATTTATTATAGGCTTATTTTAAAAGTAGAGTTATAGAAGGGTTATTAAAATATAACTAACTTATAAATTGAATAGAGCTACTAGTTCATTATTAAACAGTCAGGGTTTTTCTCTATATTTATTATTGATAGTGGTGTTATGGTCCGGGCATCAGGTTTGGACAGGAATGGCGTGCGATCGCACACTTTAACTGACCACGCTTATAATATTTTTTCTTTACAATTTGACCACAGTGGTTTTGATGTTTTAACAATTTAAATGCTTTAAAAATAATTGTTA